GCGGAGGCAAGCAACGCAGCCTTGACTTCTTGCCAACAAGCAAGCTACATTAGCACTACCGAATCTCTCGCTATGTGGGTCACACAAAGAGGTAGAACATAGGCAAAGCTAAATGACCTCTTCCCAGTGAACAAACACACGTCTCCGCTACATAGTGGCTACCTCAACCCACACAGTACATATATACAGCAAGTTGCTGCGCTGTGCTTTATTCTGTAACGCTGACATTATGGTGATGGAGGGTGCAGTCTGGGTAAGCAAAATAAATTTTCTATCTTAAAAAAACAAGTTTTAAAGTTGGTCATAGTACCTGATACCAGTGCTGTTTGTCCATGTCTCAGGATAACTGTTTGTTTTAATATTTTAGTGGTAGCTGCATTTTTTTCTTTCTTTAAAAAAAAAGTTTTTATTTTAGAAAAGTCTTTCCAACTTTACCAAAGAGTGCAACTCCCTGTTTCAAACATTAGACAACTCCATTATTTATTTTGGTGTTTTAAAATCTTGCTCTTTAATCTTTGCTGTCTTTGCTGCAAGGAGAGAAAGTGGTGAAAATAAAAGCTAAGATAGCAAGCTATTTTGTTTTGCATCTAAACGGTCTGTTCATAGTAGAGTTTGAGGGGTCATGCAAACTGAGCGAGTTTTCCAGAAGAAAGAGCAAAATGAAAAGGCGCTGGGAGATGTTCCCAAAACACGGAAGAAACCAGAGACGACGAGTGAGTGTTAACCGATCTGAATGTAGCCTCAAGGTGCTAGCTAAATCTGGTAAGCAGCCTTCTTTCTACACATCCCCTGATTTTTGATCTTTTCATTTTCACATTTGAGAAGCTTGGGAATTTATCAAAGTTTAAGCAGCTCTGTCAAAAAATACCAAATGATATATATATATATATATATATATATCATTTGGTATTTTTTGACAGAGCTGCTTAAACTTTGATAAATTCCCAAGCTTCTCAAATGTGAAAATGAAAAGATCAAAAATCAGGGGATGTGTAGAAAGAAGGCTGCTTACCAGATTTAGCTAGCACCTTGAGGCTACATTCAGATCGGTTAACACTCACTCGTCGTCTCTGGTTTCTTCCGTGTTTTGGGAACATCTCCCAGCGCCTTTTCATTTTGCTCTTTCTTCTGGAAAACTCGCTCAGTTTGCATGACCCCTCAAACTCTACTATGAACAGACCGTTTAGATGCAAAACAAAATAGCTTGCTATCTTAGCTTTTATTTTCACCACTTTCTCTCCTTGCAGCAAAGACAGCAAAGATTAAAGAGCAAGATTTTAAAACACCAAAATAAATAATGGAGTTGTCTAATGTTTGAAACAGGGAGTTGCACTCTTTGGTAAAGTTGGAAAGACTTTTCTAAAATAAAAACTTTTTTTT